AATGCCATGGCACTCTACCCAGGGGGACAGCTTGAGGCTCTGTCTCAAAAAAAAAAAAAAAAAAAACTTAATAACAAAGTTTTGGGTGAAATCTGTCTAGAGTTGGTACAATCTGTCTAGAGTTTACACAGATGTTCACCAAAACACCATGGAAAAGACCTACCTTGACTAAGGTCACAGATCTTAGCCAAAAAACTAACGATGAGAAGCTATAACACAGAACACTATAAACAAGAACAGAACTAAGAGCCAAAATCTCCAGAAATCACTGACAAAACTGAAAACTCTCAGCCCTTCCCTTGGCCAGTATAATTTTTTGCTAGTCAAAACACCTAAAGTGACAGAAAAGGGTTGCACATACCTGGACTATATCCCAGTGCATTTGCACCTCTTCTCTAATATTATAGGCATCTGCTGGAGCCCTGACAGGCTGCCCCCGAGGATGCCTTTCAATCTTCATTATCTTACAAGAGGACGGAGCAAATGTAAAGTCATCCTCATTCTTTTCCTTCTTGCATGGACCTTGCCACATGGTGCTTGTGGATGGTGTCTCTGTACTGGTATTGCCACCCTCTAAGCTGCCAATTTTGCTGGTTTCTTCCTCAGTTTTCAGCTTTTTAGTCCTTTGAGCTGAAAGTGACTGAGCTGAATTTTTCCGTTTTGTCTTTGCTGTTTTCAGTGTCTGTACAGTATCGGATTTTTTTCTGTCTTCCAAGTCAACATCAGCAATAGCCACAGAGCTGTTCTATCAAAACACAAAGAGAATACATGAGAATTAGAAGATAAAAACCACTTGCCCTGCAACTGTTAATACACACAAAAACTTGGAAGAATTTCAAGGAAATTATGTTCAGTAAGAAAAAAAGCCAATCGCAAAGTTACATACTATATGATTTTATTTACATATTATTCCTGAATAGATCAGTAGTGACAAAGAGAGATGACAGTGAGAGGGGAATAAGAGGGAGGTTGGTGTGACTATAAAAAAGCAACACTAAGGATCTTGGTGATGGATACATAAACCCATGCATGTGATAAAACTGTGTAGAAAAAATACAAACACATACACATAAATGAACACAAGTAAAACTGGCAAAAACTACATAAGATCAGTTGCTTTTATCAATGTCAATATATTGGTTGTGATATTTCACTAATTTTGCAAGTTTCCCACTGGGGGAAACTAGATAAAGAGTACATGGAAAGCCTCTATTATTTCTTACCAATACATCTGAATTATTTAGAAATAAGAAGTTTAATTTTTAAAATTAAGCAAAGCATAAAGCTACATATACCAGAAAACCAAAATTAAAACTTGCAAAGTCAACCACTTGGGGGGTGGAGGGTAGAAGAATCTCACATTCTCTTAAAGCTTAACAAGCTTGGGCAGTGCCTGTGGCTCAGTGAGTAGGGCACTGGCCCCATATACCAAAGGTGGCAGGTTCAAACCCGGCCCTGGCCAAACTGCAACAAAAAAAAATAGCTGGGCATTGTAGTGGGTGCCTGTAGTCCCAGCTACTCGGGAGGCTGAGACAAAAGAATCACCTAAGCCCAGGAATTGGAGGTTGCTGTGAACTGTGATGCTACAGCACTCTACGAAGGGCAACAAAATTAGACTCAATTTTTTTTTTTTTTT